CGGGCTAGAAATAAGGATTTGGGAGCCAGGAGCACCTAGATAATGACTGATACCATGGAAGCAGGTATGTTCCACCACAGGGAGGTGTAAAGTGTGAAAAGAGAACAGCGCATGGGCGAGAACTCTAGGTGAAGGTGTCTGAGCAGGCAAGTCAGAAAACAACACACCAGGAACGTGCAATATTACGAACAACAAGGAGATCAGAGGGTGAACAGTCAACACAGGAAACCATGAGGTCTCATGATTAAGCATAAACACAGAATGGTATGTTTAACAACATGAATGGCCTTCATCAAAGAACCTTTAGTGGAGTAGTAGGAAGGGAGGCTGATTTGGAGTGAGTAGATGTAAGTAAGAGCTAACTCCATGGAAACAGAAAGCTTGACACACAAACCCTCCTCCCCCATGATTTGGTCCTTGTCAAACTTGCCAGCCTTATTTCTCGTCATGCGCCATTCAGGTCCTCCCATGCATTCATTAAAAGTTACTTGCCATAACACAAACATACCAGGCTGTTGGCTGGATTTTCTCACAATCCTCCTGCTCCTGCAATCAAGTCCAACCTGCCCCTCCACCTTGTGGGGCTCCACATAGATATAACCCCTTTTCGCTTTGAGCTCATATTGCACCCTTTGCATAACCCATCCTGGATACTAACCCAAGATGTGCTTGATTGTGATTACAACCCGTACTTCAATTCCTGGAAGCCCCAGGCGTTTATGAATGTGACAGATTGCAGAAATGGCAAAAAATTCCCCCCAGCCCTGATTCATCCTCCTTTGCAAGGTGATTAAGCTGCTTCATCCATCAAAACATGGAGCCTGTTTCTCCAGTAGTGAATTTCAATTTGGTCGTGTGGCTTGAGTGAGGCCAAATAGGACACTAGCAAACATGACCCAAGAAAGGCGTGGAAAGAACTCATCCCTGGCTACAATAGGGATAAGATCATCGTGTAAGCAAGCATAATGTACCTGGCTAGAGAAAGAGAAGCCACATGGAAAAGAAAGGCATCCCAGCTGATACTGAGAAATTGCCAGCTATGTGAATGAAGTCATGCTAGACCAGAAGGTCTGAGCCAGCCTAGACCAAAAGAACTGTCTCATTAGTCCACGGAACAATCATGAGATTAAAATATTTGATTGTTTTAAGTCACTAAATTCTGCAGTGGGTTGTTTCACAGCAAAAGCTAAGAAAGTGGACTGGAAATCTCAAAAAAGTGCACTTATTTTGTTAAGGTTCCCATTAAAACCCAGGGAGTGAGAGATTTCAGAACTGGTGAGAGTTGTGTCCTTCAAGCTTACACTATTAAAGGTCACATTCTTCAATGGCAATTACTTCCCTAACATTTTTTTTAAAACTCTTTTTATCTATAGGTTACAATAGGAATGGGGCAGACTCCCAATAAACTCAAAGAAACTGGAAAGAGATGGAAAAGGTCACTGCTGAGAATACAATTGCAAGTGACGCCTTCAGCCAATGATCTAAGTAGGTGAGTTTGTGCAGAAGGAGCAGCATTCAGTAACAGGGTTCACAAGGACAAAGCTGCTCAGAGCTGTGCTAATAGGAAGAAGAAGCCATAATTCAGAGAAAATAGTAAACTTAGAGAATGAGAACCATGGCCAGAAACAAAATCACAGATTTGAATGTGGAATAAATTTCCTCTTTCAATGCTAGCAATTGATGCTGAGTTTATCTCAGACATACGCAGAGATGCATCAGACTTTGCCCCATGGGTAAATTCAAAACTTGTGAAATTATCAGTGCCCTTAAGTAACATGACTATTATCACATTTTGTATTACAGTGATTTGATATCATTATCAATGCCCATAAATAAGAAGATTATTATTATTTGGATGCCAAGATGTTCCTGAATAAATGTATTTTATTTTGGAGTTTATCATTAGATTAAGTCAAACAGTTAAAAATAATGAATGTCACAAATGGTATTCTTAAGGGTTGCTAAATCAAAAAAAAGGAGCTAAACTTTGTCTGCTAAACCAAAGAAAAGGAGCATTTTCCTCTTAGATCTTCAATGTATCTTAGCTCTAAAATTCAGCTAACATTAAATGAATCACTGTACCCAAATATATTCTCCAACCGTTGTATTTTTTTCTTTTTAATTTAAAAGCACAACTTGTCCTAAGACATTTCAATTTATTTTTGCCCAGGGGGATCAGAGATACATTTTGGGTCAAAACACATTAGACTTTCAGATGAGTTTACAAATGCTTGTGTCTTAGAGGAAAAGATATGCTATCCTTTGTGTTTGGCAGGGTAAAACTGCAATTTTGTGGTATGAATAGTCTAATGAAAATTAACCTCCTTAATATACAAGCACTATGACTACTTCATGTAATATGAATACTTGTAATCTTTGGGAAAATGCACGCTATAAATAATTGATAAATACACATGTTGTTGAAACAGCAGAGGCATTTAATAGTGTTATCATTCCTCTCAAGAATAATTAACTCAATGTAACTAAGAGTGTTAATTAAACAAATATCAAGCATTTATTGAGTACCTTATGTTCATACATTTGTTCAACAAATATTTAATGATTAGTTTCTGTGTTCTAGATACCATTTCTAGATGCTGATATACATGATAAATAAGGAGAGCATGGCCACCTGACTTCACAGAATCTAGTGAGGGAATCAGAAAATAAATAAGTTAACAAATAGATAAGAAAAAAATGAACTTTTTTGGTATATGCATGAAATGAAATACACAGGGCATCATGATAGGGAGAAAAAGAGAATAATTGATTGACTTAAGGTGATTCCTGGAGGACATGACATTAAAGCTCAGACAAGAAAGGGAAAAAAGCCAAGTAACAAACAACAAGCCGGACATGCCCAAGGAGAGAGTGGAAAGGCAGTGCTTACCATATTTGAAGAAATAAAACAACAGTGGATCAAGTATAAAGAGCAAAGAAAAAGATATAAGAACTTGCAGGTATTGTATGCATTGAATGGGTCTTCTAACTCACAATCCTCTTTCTCCACAAAATTCCTTGGTCTGAAAGGCAATGCTTACTTGGCAATGTGATTGAAAACATGGCAAAATTTACTGCAGTGGGCACATAAAAGTGTTCACCATGTACTGCTTCACACATTTGTCACCCTTTCCTTTTAAATAACGTATCTTACAGAAGCCCAGAGACTTTTTGCACTTGATAAGTAGTGTTTTTAATTGACCAGAGCATTGATTAGAAGTTGTGTGAAATGATTTTTTGGTTCTCACTCAGAGTATAGAATACATTTGTGTATGTAATTGATCCAAGCCTCTGCAACACTGAACATTTGTCTTATTCAAAATTAATTTCCTGCTAATAACTGTCATTTTACTATATTTTCTCATTGCATATTAGCACTCCTAATGATATTCCTTCTAAACTGGTATTTGAAAGCCATAAAGGTTATTGTTTTGTTAATTTGTTTGTTTTACTGTAAGGGAGTTACTCTTGACAGGACAATGAGTAGAAAACTACAGAGCAAGATCGAGATGAAACACAGGGAGAAGGTCAAGCTCCTTCACTAACAAGGAGCAGGCTTCATATACTACCAAGGTTTGAAGGATCCTTTGTAATGTGAAAAGTATGGAAATAAAGAATGGCATGTACTCGATGGGCATGTGCTATGGTTTTAGTGTTCCCTTTACAACTCATTGAAATTTAATTTCCAATGTATGATAAGAGGTAGGACTTTTAAGAGGTGATTAGGTCATGAGGACTCTTCCCTTATGAATGGGTTAATGCCATTATCATAAGAGCAAGTTGGTTGTCACAGAAATTTGGCTCTCTCTGTCTTCTGTCTTAGTTTGTTCTAACACTATGTTATGACACAGCAAGAAGGCCCTGTCCAGATGCAGCCCCACAGTCTTGAACTTTTCAACCTCTAGAACCATGAGCCAAATAAACTTTTTTTTTAAATTAATTACCTAGTCTGTGGTATTTTGTTACATCAGCTGAAAATTGGCTAAGATGGTATGTTAGATTGTTATGAAAGGTTAGGTGAGTGGATGAAATTGACTGACCTAAGAGGAAACTGAGATTTTAGGGCTCAATAATGAGCAGAGCTGTGGAAGACGTCTATGTTAGGCTGGGTGTCTCAGCTGAACACAGGAGGCTTTGAGGCTCTTGACGTGGGGTTTCATAGGAATTTTAGTGGTTTGGGAAGATACTACAGTTGTATAAATTTGGTCAGAGCTGAAGATTGGAATGGTGTCTTCTCTTTTAAAGAATAACTTTTTGTAGTGTGCTTAATTAATCTACAAATGAATAACTTTGTATAAAAATGTTCATTGTCACCTTAACGTTGTTTAAAAAGAAAGTTGTAGCACTCACTCTAGCTGAGATAAAAGCCCTTGTAGGCTGTTTCTTCAGCCTCCAACATTGCTGTATCCAATCATGTCCTCCAACATTCAAATTATCAAACACCAATGTTTCAGAGTCCAAACAATGTTTCTGTTTAAAATATCTTTATTCCCATTTACCAAAAATACACAAAAAGCATGACAATTGTCAGTGATCATATTTGTGAGCTAATTTTTCCAAAACTTGGTTCTTACCCAAGTTTATTAAAGTTCCTAACTATAATGTGTTCACTGGCTTTGAAAGGTCTTGGATGAGTAAGTTGTTGGCATAAAGCTTCTTTTGCAAACAGAAAACCCCTTTTCTGGGGTGTATGGAATTTCTTACAATTACGGAGTAATTTGCTTTAAATGTGAAATATTGGAAAACTGTTTTGTTTTTATTTTTCTCCAATTTAGAAATTGTGGCAAGAGAAATATGCATAAATATTCAAATGTTTTCAGACGTACAATCTATTGAAAGCAATAATTTATTGCACTTAAGACATTCATATGTGAGTTTTATATAAAGGTTGAAAGTGCTTTTCAAGAAAGTAAAGAATTATTTTAATTTAAAGTAAACACAAAAAGGCAAAAATAGTCAATAAACACCATAAGCCACTGTTGCTTTTTCTTACAACTTACAGATATAGCAAATTTTCAAGTCCTTCAAAAGCACTTCTGGAAATTTTTCTGATTTGGTTGTTGTTCAGCAGACTGAAAAAACAAAAAACAAACAAATAATTCCTAAATGAGAAACAGATTCTGCAAAACATTAAAATAGTTCTGTTAAGCATAGTGCTTTACACAACAGAAAAATATTTACTTACATCCTTCACTAAATTTGGAAATTTATACTTTTAATTCACTATTCAAAAAAGTGATATAAAACATTAATTTGTCACAAAGCCTTTTCAAAAATAATGTTTATGTATTAAATTACCCTAAAACAACATTGCAATCCAGGAAGTAAAATGCATGTTTTCCTGAAGCATATCATCTAAAAGGAAAATTATCAACATAGTCATGGTAACAAAAGAAGATATTCCTAAACAAACAGATGGAGAGCATTGAACACTCAGGCTTAGGCATCTTCCTTGGAAAAATAAATATCACAGTTATTAGTACACAGTGGACTTTCATTGTGTATTTGTTAAACTGTCAAACCAAGAATCAATTACACCATAGGAAGTGAGGCTTTTATTATAGTACCATCCAATGGTCCAAAACTGATTTCTAAAAAATCCAGGGAGAAAAATAACAGGTGGCAGAAATAAATTGGATTTGAACAGTAAAACAAGTTACAGAAAATCACCTTTCAGTAACTTTGAAAGCTTCAGAAAATGCACTCTGGCAAATGAAAATTACAGATTTTTTTTTTCTGGTAGAAACAGTTACAATTTCTTTCAAATTTAAATTATTATGGAATGTGTAAATATAGAGGGAAAGTCCGCTAATTAGATTGGCACACATACTCCTGAATATCCTATAATGTCTAAAACCCCCAAAACTTCTAAAAATCTACTGCCAAAGTCCAATGCTGCAGGACTTATTTTTAGTATATTATAAAATATTTGTTTTGTTGGGTTATTTTATGAATAATTAGGAAAACAGAAGTGTTTTGGCCAATAGAGCAGGTGATTATTTCAGTTATCATGCACAATTTCACAGGCAGCCTAGAGATTCCCAAGCTCATCTGTTCCTAACTGATTCACTGTAGGCCTCACTGTTAAATTCCTCAAGCAGCATCTGGAGTGGCTGACATCTCACCTATGGCACCAGAGCCATTTCTCACCATTTGTGACTGCCCAGCATCCTGGCTATGGAAGGCAGAGCAACTAATCTACAGCATGCATTGGAGCTGATGCCATACAGAGATAATGTCAGTTTCCATGGATAATTCTTAGCTTCAGTCAATGAGCCATTCAACTTTACAGTCCACCATGTGTTCAAGAAATTTTTAAGCAGGCTGAAAGCAATATAACTAGTTATCATATGATTATTATCGGACACAAACCTTGTCCTGGGAGAATTTGCTGTTTAGGTATTCTCTCATTCTATAGTTCCAAATCAATTAATGCACTTCTGTTAGGTCCCCAGACCACCAACATGAAAATATATTTACTTGAAGAAATGACTATTTGTCCCCCTTAGTCTATTAAATACATGCACCAATGCATGTAGAATAAACTATACTTGTGTGTATACATACATATGTGTATGTGTGTAGGTAATTTGCACATCTGCTATGATGTGTGTGTATGTGTGGTATGTGACATCGTCTTAACCACAGACCACAAAAAACAATTTGAGTGACTATTTTCTTCTTTCTTTNTGAGACAGAGTCTCGCTCTGTCGCCAGGCTGGAGTGCAGTGGCGCGATCCTGGCTCACTGCAACTTTCGTTTTCCGGTTTCAACCAATTCTCCTGCCTCAGGCTCCGAGTCGCTGGGATTACAGGCGCGCGTCACCACGCCCGGCTAATTTTTTGTATTTTTGGTAGAGGCGGGATTTCACCATGTTGGCCAAGATGGTCTCGATCTCTTGACCTCGTGATCCGCCCGCCTCGGCCTCCCATAGTGCTTGGATTACAGGCGTGAGCCACCGCGCCTGGCCTGAGTGACTATTTTCTTAAATCTTCCAATGATGGTGCCTAGGGGAGAGAAACTGATTCATTTCATACAGAATATGTCTTTGAGCATCAGTGCTAATTATCTTTCAAAGCCACAATTAAGAAATGGAAAATAGAACATATCATAAATAGTCTTTCTTTAGTATATTAAATGTGCTTGAAGCCTACGTTTCTGCATTTTTTATTATTATGCTTTAAGTTCTGGGGTACATGTGCAGAAAGTACAGGTTTGTTACATAGGTATACACATGCCATGGTGTCTGCTGCGCCCATCAATCCATCACCTACATTAGGTATTTCTCCTAATTCTGCATATTATTTTATAGTTATTTAAATTTTAACAAAAATAAAACATGAGATTTCAAAAAAGTGCACTGAAGTTATGATGTGAATAACCTAAAGTATGAGATCAATTTAACTTGTTTTCTTGAAAATGTTTTTATTGCTGACAAGAAACAAGCCCATTAAAATGGTTCACAGTTGAATGTATTTTCCAATCACAAGTACATGTTTCTTGTCGTTTTATTCAAACGACTATGGTTTCCATCAAAAGATCTTTATTGTAATTTTAATTGTTGGATCCTTATCCAAGTAATGTTTTGGTTAAGTGGTTATAGAAACTGTCATTTATAGCATTTTGTTTTACTATTCATAAAGAAAATGCATTCAAAATTTATGGGTGGGTCTACTAAAATTCAGGGCATAAAATAATACCTAACATTCTTTCGTCAAAAATCAGCACAAGCTTAGGGAAATTTATGGCCATATGCTATATCCTAATGTTGCCCGTGATGCCAAGGGAACAAAAAACAAAAAAAAGCAAGCAAAACTCCCAAGAAGAAAACAGAAAAATGTTCCAGTTTTTATTGAGAAAATAAAACAATCTTTGAAAGCAGGAGATCGGAATATGCTGATGATCAAGCTTTTAAGGGTAAAGAGGAATCAGCATTAGATCAATAGCCCAGTTTATTAGCTGTATCTTTTTTCGCTGAAACCCAACGTCTTACCCATAGTACGCACACATACACTTGCATATTTAATATTATAGAAACGTATACTGTGTGGTTAGAAAAATTTTATTAAAAGCAATAAGAGACTACTAGAAAAGATAAAGGCTATTTGCATAGTCATCCATTCATCAAAGTGTAAAATAAAAAATAAAAATGATAAAATTTAAAAAGGAAAATAGAACTCTCTCCTATCTCACATAAAATTACTACTAGAGTAATGCCAAGATTTACTCCTTTTGGATACAAATAATATACTGTTGTAAGTGGCAATAACGTTGGTCTGTTCCTGCTTGTTATGGTTGTGGTTATTTTCATTTGGATACTCCAGAAGTGTGGTTCTGCTACTCTTAACATGAAAGCTGTGTGAACTTCATTTCTGTGCATACCAAATTAAACACTGTATAAACTTTCAATAAACATAAACCATTATTCTGGAGTTATTTGCATAATTACCAAGCAAGAGATTCATGGCAAAAGTCACTTATAGCTACCCTTGATAATATATCACAGCCACAGAAAAATATAAATATTATCATAAACAACAGATAAATCATTTGCAGCTCAAAACAGCAAGAAAAAAAAGAAAAAGGAGAAAGGAAAGAAAAAGAGGTCAGGCTGATTACAGAACACAGATTTATTATTTTTTTCCAACTTTTATTTTAGATTTAGATTCAGGGGGCACATGTGCAGATACGTTATCTGAGTATATTGATTGATTCCAGGGTATGGACAATCCCATTACCCTGGTACCTAGAATAGTACTAAATAATTTTCTAGCCTTTGCCACCATCCTTTCCTCTCCACTCTTGTAGTCCCCAGTGTCTATTGTCGCCCTCATTATGTCCATGAGTATCCAATGTTTAGCTTCCACTTGTAAGTGAAAACATGTAGTATTTGGTTTTTTGATTTCTGCATCAATTCACTTAGAATAATGACTTCCAGCTGCATCCACGTTGCTGCAAAGAACATGATTTCATTCTTTTTTTTTTTTTTTTTTGGCTCTATAGTATTCCCTGGTGTATATGTATCACATTTTCCTTATCCAGTCCACCATTGATGGTCACCTATGTTGATTCCATGATTTTGCTGTTATGAATAATGCTGTCATTAACATATGAGCATGTGTGTAGTTTTGGTAGAATGATTTTTTGTGTGTTTATTTTTGTTTTTTGGTTTTTTTTTTTTGGATATGTATCCAGTAATAGAATTGCTGGGTCAAAAGGTAGTTCTGTTTTAAATTATTTGAGCAATCTTCAACCTGCTTTCCACAGTGGCTGAATTAATTCACTTTCCAATCAACACCATATAAGGATTCCCTTTTCTCCACAGCCTAACCCATAGCTTTTGCTTTTTTTACTTTTTAATAATACGCATTCTGATTATTATTATAGAGGTAGTATCTTGTTGTTTTGATTTGTTTTTATCTAATGATTGGTGATGATGAGCATTTTATCATATGTTTGTTGGCCACATATATGCCTTCTTTTCAGATGTCTCTGTTCGTGTCCTTTGCCGATTTTTATTGAGGTTATTTGTTTTTTGCTTGTTTAATTGTTTAAGTTCCTTCAAGATTCTAGATAATAGACCTTTATTGGATGCACAGTTTGCAAATATTTTCTCGCATTCTGTAGGTTGTCTGTTTACTCTGTTTTTAGATTTTTAGTTTCTTTTGCTGTACAGAAGCTATTTTTATTAGGGCCCACTTGTTGATTTTTGTTTTCTTTGCACTTGCTTTCGAGGACTTAGTCAAAAAAATTTTCCCAATACCCATGTCCAGATGGTATTTCCTAGATTTTCTTCGAGAATTCTTAGAGTCTGAGGTCTTAGATTTAAATATTTAATTCATCTCGAATTATTGTTTGTGTACAGTGAAAAAGTAGGGGTTAAATTTTATTCTTCTACATATGGCTAGCCAGCTACTCTAGCACCATTTATTGAATAAGGATTTTTTTCCCCATTGCTTATTTTTGTCAGCTTCATCAAAGATCAGATGACTGTTGGTGTGTGGCTTTATTTCAGGGCTGTATATTCTGTTCCAGTGGTCTGTGTGTCTGTTTTTGTACCAGTACCATGCTG